AGTAAAAACAAAAGAGAAAGAAAACCGAGTCGTGACTGTCATGTTAGCCTGATGGGACCAACTCTACTTCTACTGTTAATAAGATTTTGGTAGGCTACTATTAGATGGATAGCCTAAATGTCCTAATTCAGATGGGCTACCTGTTTTTTTTTTATTTTTATGGTATATCAAAAAGTGTTTATTTTTTAAATGTGATTGTTGGTACATTTTACCAGTTTTTACCATACTTTCAAAACAAAAATTAAAATATGCAATATAAAAATAATTGAAGACAAAATGTTTTACTGAGAAAAAACAAGATTTGGTTTTTCAAAAGCCTTTTTCCAAAAGGTACATCTGGAAAAACAGGGGTCGTCTTATAATCAGGGTCGTCTTATATTCGGGCCAATACGGTAGTCTTTTGACTAAAATGCCATTTAGTTTTAGTCATATTTTAGTCATCGGATTTGTTTGTCGACTAAATCTACAGCAGTTAGTTATTATTAGTATGTTTATTTACAGTGTAATGCATAAAAATGTTATTAAGCGTTTCTCTAAAATTACCAAACTTATTATATAGGTTTGATAGTAAGGTTTTATCATGATAGCCACAGATTTAACTGCTGTGACACGCAACATGCCTTTATATTAAAATTAAATGAAACCACTTCTCATAAAGAAACGAGAACATGGTCTTCTTTTTAATGAATTACAAATAGGCTAATTATGCATTCTTTATAACAACTTGTCTACCAATTTCTTCATTCTTTCAAGCAGGCATATTTATTTACATAAATTTAGATGAATCATTATTAGGGCTACTAAAGTTATTCAGGCAAGAGCAGTGAGTGATTTTCTGTCTTTCTTTTGTTGCTTGATTAACATCAGTGCCACAGACAATAGCAACTAAATTAGGCTGCTGTCTCTTTAAAACCGAATGCACGGATGCAATGCACTGATACACGTCCGATATTCTCCCTGCTGTTTACGTTCACATCAGACGTAACCGAGTGTGTTTAAGTGAATCCTCGTCAAAGCGGACAATTCGACATCATGTAGTGTGTATTTCTCCGTTCTGGAGATTCGAAAGAGTACTCGTGCGCTGCTTCGGTGTGTGCGCTCAGAAAACCGGACCGGATCGAGTTCCCTTTTGCGTCGTTAAATGTACCCATATGTCTGCTCTTCTCTTACTCCCAGATATCGACATTTTTGAACGTTTTGTGAGACGTGCAGCAAGTGAATGTTAGCTTATGTCCCGCCTGATGCATCAATAGGCTATGATACAGTTCATATGTACGCATCTAATCTCTTCCCAAATCGTCCCTCCCTAACATTTTTGTTGTTTTTATTCGTTGACGAAAATGTCAATAGATTTTCGTCATAGTTTTTGTCATTCAAAACGAGTTTTTTTTTTTCGTTATCATCTCATTTTCGAAAATTATGACAAATTATTGGTCAACGAAATGAACAATGTTCGTAATCACTGTCTGTCTGCGCAGAGCTGAGCCTGTTTGACGATCACGGCAACAAGACGAGTCTGCCGGATAAGGAGCGTCAGATCGAGGCGCTGCAGCTGCTGCTGATGCAGCTGCCCACCGCTAACCGAACCCTGCTGAAGCTGCTGCTGGACCTGCTCTACCACACCGCCAAACAGCAGGACAAGAACAAGATGTCCGCGCACAACCTCGCGCTCATGTTCGCCCCTCACGTCATCTGGCCCAAGAACGTACGCCGCCGCTTTCTTTTCACATTGTTTTTGTGTCTTTCAGATAATAGGATTGCTTTTACTAATAGGTTTTGTTTTTAGATTTTCGGTTTTCATTGTAGTTTTAGTATTTCTGCGCGATTTTGTCTTTGTTTCACTTTTATGAATTATTTTTTCAGTTTTAGTTATTTACGTCAGGTTAAGCTAAATAGGGATGCACTGGAATTAAAATTCTTGGCCGAAGCCGAAACTGAAGAAAATGAAACACTGGGCCGAAGGCCGAATACAGAACACGTTTTTTTGCGTTTTTTCCCCATGTATTTTCACCATTGCATAAAATGTGCATTTTACTGTTTTGTCTTGCTTTTCAAAGAAAAAATCCATTACAAAACAACAATTTAAAAATATTTACTTAACACTGAACGTTTTTAACATTCTAGCAGACATTATACCAACAAAGCACAATTTAACTTCAAATTAATAAGTTAGTAATATCATATTTTTGGCCATCAGACCCCCTTCTTGAATCAGGCATGTATTTTTTACTGTACAAATAAAAGCAGCCTTGCTGAGCAGAGACTTCTTTTAAAACATTAGAAAATATTACAGATCCCAATTTGAACACTGTGAATGCTATAATAAATGTATTAATAGAGCTGTTTTAATTATTATCATCGTCTTACTTTTTTTATTTTATTAAAAAAAATTCATTAAAATGTTACTGAGTGACTGACGAGTAACACTGTTTCAGCGCAGATTTTCCTCGCGCTTTGGACTTTGAACCCTGGCTATAAGCAGATAGCGCTCAGAATACATGTTACATAACGTTCTGCAGTTTATTTACTAATTGTTTAAGGCCATTTCACGATTTCGATCATCATACAGTAACCAGCAACAATCACCCCTTCCTCGTCTCATCAGAGACATGAGATGCAGCGCTAAACAGTCTCTCGCTGTCGGTGCTTGTGATGATTTTTACATCTTTCTCCAACGGTTTTAAATGCCGTCATGTTTGCTGCATTAGTGCCTGCCTCTATTTGATCGCGTCACGTTATTGTTCAGTACAATTTATTCGGTCTTTTCGCTTATTCTAATAATTATTAATTTCGGTTGCCGAAGATTCGGTGCATCCCTAAAGCTAAATGACAATACAAAATGTTGCTGAACTAACTTTTAACTAGCTGAAATAAAAGCTAATTTAGGTAAATTTCCAGTAATGGAAATCATGTTTTTTATGGTTTTAGTTTTAGTTAGTTGTAATACCCCTGGTTCAGGCGTCATTTGTCTCGTGTGATGTGCTGCTTTCTTCAGATGAATGCCAGTGACCTTCAGGAGAACCTGAAGAAACTGAACAGCAGCATGGCGTTTCTCATCAAACACTCCCAGAAGATCTTTCGGGTACTTTTCCCACCACACCTTCTACAAATGCAGCTTTTTTATTTTGCATTTATTTTCACATAACTGATGAGATGGAAAATAACATCATAGTAACATGTCACTGCGTTCTTTTAGTAGCATATGTATATATATATATATATAAGCTTTTATAGTATTTATCAATATTTTGAATTAGCCTTCATTTCTATGTTTTCATTTTAATTTTGGTAATTTTGATATATATATATATATGCACAAAAATATTTAACAATTTCATGTATCTTTATTATTTTTTACATTTAGATTTCATTTCAGTAATGTTAGTAGATCAGCTTAAAACATTTTTCAGATAGTTGCCAAGGAAATTTCTCTCTCTCTCTCTCTCTCTATATATATATATATAAATATTTAGCTTTAATTTATTATTATTTCAGCTTTAGTTTTAATAATTTTAGTACTTAAACATTTTTTTTTCAGTTACTTACCAAGAAAACATTTCTAATTTTATGTGCTTTTGTCATTTTTCTTCATTTATGTTTAGCTTTATTTTTATTCCAGCTACATTTTTATTATATTTATTTATTCCTTTAGGTTTAGTAATTTTAGTGCTTCAACTTCAATGTTATTTATTTCAGTTACTTGCCAAAGAATCATTTCTAATTTTGCTTTTTGTAATTTTTTTGAGTAAAAAAAATCTTTAACTTTAATTTATTTTTATTTCAGCTTTCGTTTGAGTCATTTTAGTATGTGCTTTTGTCATTTTTAAAAGTTGTTTTATTTGTATTTAGCTTTGTTTTTATTTCAGCAGTATTTTATTTGAGTAGTTTTAGTTCTTCAACTTAAACATATTTCAGTTATTTTCCAAGGAAATGCTTCTAATTTCCATTTTCATTTCAGGTTTTTCAGGTTGAATTTTTTCCCCATCTAATATTTATGTTTTGATTTATTTCAGGTAACAAAAGTGATTTGTAGTTAGCAATAGCAGCACAAGTGAAATCTGTTTTCTCTCTTGCGAAGGCTCCGGCGTATCTGAGGGAACATGCCAGACTTCAGTTCGTGAACACCAGACTGATCCACTCCAAGGTTTGTGGCGTCTGTGCTCATTCTTCACGGATGGGCTTGTACTTGAGCGTGCTGATGCTCTTGTGTGTGCTGTCAGGATGATCTGGAGCTGCTGTCGGTCGGTGGTTCTCCGTTCGCGTCGGCGTGTAAGAGGAGCGCAGCGCCAGTGGACAGTCACACAGAAGAGGCGCTCAGAGAGCTCTGTCGACACGTCACCGATCACATGCCAAACTCCGCCAAGAAGAAAAAACTCATCCGACAGGTGACCGCACACTGTGTGCCGCTTCATCAGTTCAGTCAGTGTAAACGTAAATCCTGTTATTGTTATTGTTAAAGGGGTCATATGATGCGATTTCAAGTTTTCCTTTC